GCAGGGAGCCCTGGTAGGGGACGGGGCGCGTGGTGGTCCCCACGGCGGGCACGTTCCTTGGGGTGATCGCTTGCTGCCATGGCATCCAGAGTGTGTTTTATAGCCTTGCTTTCAGACGCTGTCACACCAAGATAGTACGTTAATAGGTGGTTGTACCTACAGAGGGTATCACGTGCAATTAATTACGTTTGCGCCGGTTGTCCTGAAGAACAGGGTGCTCTGCTCACATGGTGGCTGCGCCTCTTGCCTCTGGCAGCTTGCTTAGCCTCCCTCCAAATCACAACAAACTTCTGTTTCCTATCATTGTTTGTCCTTTGGCTGCCGCAGTCTAGCGGCTTGCAGTATTTATTTCTAGTGAGATAGCCTTTAGAAGTTCCTGAGACAGGCACAACACTACATTGTTCTACGTGCTGTGCAAGAGCGGAACAAACGCTCTGTGCTCCGGATCGTGGGTATAAAGCAGCACATGTGCTTGGTTTGGAACAGAGGAGGGAGAGAGCAGCAAGGATGAATAATTTCCAGTGTTCTCACCTTTTGGGGAAGATGTGTATATTGGTGGTACTTTGTGTCCCTCTAGATAAAATACTTTTGCACCAAATTAGCCCTCTTAAGGACAGCACTTCTGCTCCTTCATGCGTTTGCTGAGACTCCCTACCCTTTTTTTTTTTTAATCGATGCCATAAAATAGGTTACTTGTCTCTGAACGATAAGGAAGATGTGTCTCTTGGATCTGGCGATCAATGCTGGAAAGCATAAGGGCCTTAATGCTGGCCTTTAATTTCTGTATTTTTATAAAGGGCAGCGTTTGCATAAGTACCAAACAAGTACCAAGCTCTCTGAAAACTGGTATGCTGTTCACTAACCATAGACACGTATCGAGTGATTTCAGATACCTTCCTTTTCATGCTGCTTGATGGTACGGTCTAAGTTTTTTGGTGATATAAATACTAGGTGGTACTAGATGGGCAGGAATATTATGTGTAAGATATTTCACATACGTGGATATACAGCCAAGTCAAGGCTGAGTAACATTGCCAAGCTCTCTGAGCTGTGCTAATTCACTGATCAACAGAGGCGTTCGGTAACTAGCCCTGGTGATCCAGCACTGGCACTTGGATTCAGACATGAAGAAATGTAGATATTTCAGTCTATTTATATTGAGGTGTCTGCTGGAGTTCTTAATCAGGATTCGGGCATCTTGGTGTTTCTCTGCTGTGTTCAAACACTTACCGACACTAAATTCATCCACTGACCATATTTTTGATGATCTGAAACCTCCAAAAAGCAAAACAAGATGTATAGGATTGTGCACATCTAGAAGCATCAAGACATGTGGCAACGCTTTTTATGACATCTTTTATCCAAGTATTTCAGAATGATTTACAAGCATTAATTAATGCAAGTATTACAACACTCCTACTTAATCTGTAGTTTTTAATATTCTTCAATAGCAGAATATTTAAACGTGACCTGTTCTGCAGGTTGTATTTTCACTTGGCTCAGCTTCTTCAAAATGCTCGTCATGTTGCCACATGAGTAGGAAATTATAGCTAAAAATACTGCTATGGTACGTGTGTGTGTGAATATATATATATACTTCCCATTGTAGGTATTTGGCCTTTTTTTTTTTTACTGACAGAATGTAAATTATGGGCCATACTTGTATTTTTAATAAAAGTAGAATAACTATGTCATCTATATAACACCATTTGCGTGAATGTCATAGTAAGGAGGTGTCTCGTACTCGACTAGCTTATTATTCTTAAGCATGGGTGGTTTTTTCCTTGCAGGATCCCTTTAGCAGAGTAAAGCCTTCTGGCCATCCAGGCCAAATATTACAAAAACGGTAGTAGTATAGGGTTGGTCTTGTCAATCACGTGTTTATCAATCAGGACCACAGGAATCACGAAGGAACCATGTCTTTCACTCTTTTCCTTCCCGGTTTTGAGGCCTAATGGGACCATGGCAAACGGTATGTGAGTTAGGATGACCGTTGGTAACTAGGCTCAGCGAGCCCACTCAGATTTTCATACCACTCCAGAAGCATCAGCCTGTTTTCAGACCCACTGGCGCTGCACATAAGCCTTGCATCCTTTGCAGACCGACCTAATGTAGCATATGAAAAGAAACAAAAGGGGAGAGGTACAAATATGCTCATTTTTGGTATGCAAACAATAAAAACCAGTTTTGTTGCATGGATGCAGCACCATGATACTGTTTCAGTTACGTCATCATAGGCACAATATCAGTAGAGCTATCTATATCTGCATTAGGGATTTGCTCCCATTTAACTACATAAAAAAAAAAAAATAGTAGTTTGGTGCAAATATTGTACAGACCTTAGCAGAAA